TTTAATATAATAAAACAGTAAAGGATAAAAAAAGTATAATAAAAAGTCCCATTTAACGCGTTTCGCCTAAACAGGCTTCTTCTTTACTGTTTTATTATATTAAAGTATACTTTTTAAAGTTACTTTTTATATTTATTATTTTCTATTTCCTGGATCCTGCATATCCTTGGTGGGGATTATACCACCTAAGCTGTTTATACTGGAGCAAGTTATATGCCCTAGAAAGTGTAAGTACCATACTTTTTATTATTCAATATATTATTAGTACTTACTTCACCATATTGCTACTATCTCTTTTTATACCTACTATGCACATTGCACCTTGAGAACATCCGTGGCAACTACTACGAATCCTAAGACGGGGATTGTACCGTCCAGGCGCTTCACAGTAGAGCTCTGTTATAGCTCATTTAAATGTGAGTGGACTGTACATCGCTATAATTGATTGTATCTAAGATTTATCTACTGTATTGCACTATTATTTTTTATCTTAATTTTTTTCGAGGCCACGACTGATTGGAATATTCAAGGATATATGTATGTATTTTTTGCATATATAAATTACTAGGCGCGGTATACGCCCTCTTTTCTCTCTATTATTCACTCACAAGGTTGGGGAATCCTTGTCCTGTATACTGCTGCCTGATCACTATAGTGAGCGCCTATTACTTTCTTTTTCTATTTATCTATGTTTTCAGTTTAACTATTTTGGCCAACAAGTTGAAATTGTCTTTATGGGAGGTCTTTTTTACTAAACCAGAAATCACAGAGAATTGACAAGAATCGCAAAATGTGGACAAAAAAAAGACGATCTCGAGAATGCTACAAATGAATTTAATTTAGCCTATTTTCTATTCCTTTATGAATTTCCAACTCTTTCACGGTTATTCACTAAAGTGAGAATTAAAAGTGAAGCATAGCTGGCTTAGAGATTTTTTTCTCAGTTTGGCTATTTTAACCTTAAATAAGTGAGTAAGCGTGTTAGTGGTTTAGTAAATAAACCCCTGTATTATATTGTGAAAGATTAAATTTGCATTAGCTCATCTAATATATACAGGTTATAGTGAGAAAGATGCTCTGATCCTTTTATTTGCCAAGATCCCTATAAAAATCTTGTGTTTTAAGCTCTTTCAATATGTATTCATCCAGAGCAGACAATTAAGAATCACTTTTGTTCCGTTAATATGGTCATAAAATGTTTCTATTGTACTACTAAACATAAAGTAGTATTAAAAAGAAAACCTTCTTAGTATATATTTTTTTCTAATTTCCTTTACAATTCAGGGCTGCTGACCAATACAATATAGAACCCTTAGCCCTGAGAATAATTGCAAAATACACTTTGTAGCAGGTAATTCATTGGTGACCTTCCTGCGTGTGACAACAAATATTTCCAAGTTTGCAAACAAAATAAACGTGCCCTATTGGTGTCTACACAAATATTGAACCAAAGTCTTCAACACTGTAAGACTGTTGACTGAGGCAGATAATGCAATTGTCTTTTTGTTACTATGAAGTACAAATTGTGGTTTGTGCCATCACTCTCTTAGTAAACACGAAAGATATTCTCGTCGTAGGTCTGGAATGTTTGCTCTGCCAATACAAACCTGAAGCCTACACTCTTGTCTAAAGTATCATCCATTGAGCCATGGCAACTGTAAGTATCTTGTGAAAGGAGCAGCAGTGTTGTCATTGAGAAGCTAATGGCAGTATAGTTTCAATGTACTTAACATCGAAACTTTGCTATACACACATACAACCGTCTCTTCAAACAGTTCTTTTTTGTTTTTGGATTAATTTATTTATTTTAAGAAATGTTTCGTAGAGCTCATCACTTTTGAGTTGCATATCATAAAATTATATGTTGATAAAAATGATCAAATATTTATTTTGCCTTCGGTGTTTCTCTATTTTACATAATTCTTAAGTTAGGGGGTAAAAAAAAGATGCAAAGTTTTAGTTATGTTGAAACGTGTTAATCTTTCAATTTGCAATCTAGGAAAAAAATGGCAGATTATATTATCTTTATTGTTTTAGCAAAAATAGAGCAATAAGAAGAATACAAAATAAACATTACAATTACAAATATAGCGCCAATACAGTCTGCAGTGTATACTGCCCAGTGTTTCGGCATAAAAATACCCTTGTCTTTACACTAGTCCATGTGAAAGGCAAATTCGTGCAGAAAAGAAGGGGATTGGTTCTTTAAGACTGTTTGCTGCTCTCTTTTAGGATCTTGTTGATATCAACAATATCGGTGGGTCCTACACTAATTCCAATGTGGGAGACAAGTTAACCCCTTAAGGACACAACTTCTGGAATAAAAGGGAATCATGATGGAATATTTCCGTCATGTGTCCTTAGGGGGTTAAATTCACCTTTTGTCTTTACTATATAAGTTTGGAATCCTGATTCTTTTTTTAGTTGAGCACCCTGCCCAGCCCCCCAGCTTCAGAGGCCCCGTTGGAAGGTGACCACAGGATAGTATAAATTTGGGGAGGTGTTGAATAGTAATGTCACTTTAATTATAATTTTCATAGAGCAGATACATGGTATGCATTGTGAGTTTCTACATCAAAGCACTATCGCTTTAATAGTTTAGTTTTGACACTGCAATTTTTTGAATTGCGCTTTTAATCACATTCATTTTGCATTATATATATCCACAATGCTTTTACAACAGATTATTAAAATACACTTTAGCTTATTTGGCACTAGCATTATTTAATTTGTCTCCCACGTTGGAATTAGTGAAGGACACATGAAATTGGGGTGCTGTGAAGTAGTGGTGGGCTTAACACAATATGGCTATATCGTGGAACTGAATAGTCTTGTAAAATGTAATACTGTGTTTTTATGTGTGTGTTGTTCTTTATGTGTGCGATGTACTTGTATAAGTCTTTGCCACTTGATATTAGTATGTCATTTTTAAATGGTATTTTTTACTGTTTGACAATTTGTATATTAATTTCTAGAAACAAAATCCTTGTAATTTGACACTAACTAATAGCATTGTTGTTTAATGGGAATTTCTAGGAAGAAATGGATGCCTATCCCTGACTACATTATAGAGATGATGAAGAAAGCGTACATTAAAAAATACATAGAAAGTTCCCATACACATGCACTGTTTAGCCGACAGTTACAGACAGAGCCCTATCTAATCGGGAATAGACCACTAGTCAGGAGCATTTCATTCTCTTTTCTGTGGTCTATTCTTTTTTGTTAAGCTTCTTTCCAGCATTATGGGATAGGTACCTTATACCCCACAATAATTCCACTTATTTCTTGATTGGATTTGGACCTGCTTTGTAAACTATCAGCCATACCATGCCAGTCTTGGCTGTGTCAGTAAAAAACAAAAGAAAAAAAAGAGTTACCTGTGCACTAGCCCAAATCCCTATGCATATTTAAATAAATGGAGGTTCTTTAGTAACTCCAATAGCCATTAGATTTAAGCCAACCTGCCACGTCAAGGCAAAACTCTTAGGTGATTCCTATACTAACAATTCACCTTGCTACCTTCAGCTTCAGGAAGAGATATCGCTAATGAGACAGAGAGGGGTATTTTTCTAAACCCTATATACATATTAACCCTCAATAGGGAACACATGGGGTGGTGGGCAGCATTGTAACATGACTGATGTGTGCTATGGTCATTGCCGCCGCCCAGGAGTAATGGGAGATGGAGCGCAGGACTTATTTTTGTGCATTGGTAGTGTCAGTGTCTAAAAAGGCTAATGCAAATGGCCAGCTCACTGTCTTGCTCACCAGTCTAGCTCTAGCAATGGTTGTAGCTGACAAGTCAAGTTATGGTAGTCAAACAACAGATGAGTGCCAAGGTAAATCTTTTAGGTAGGAAAATTACAGAAAATACTCTCAAGCTGATACTTTTTACTTTACATTCTCTTTCACACAAACAATCACCTTCTGCAGTATGTGTCCAAACTCCACATGAAAACATTGACTAGACTGTTCTAGGTAACATGATGTATGCTGGTTGGAGGCAGAGCCGGCTGGTCAATTCTTTCTATGTTGGTATCTACCCAGAAACTGGCCATTGATCATGGGGGAAGCCATCATTGTGGGAGATGTCAAATCAACACTTTTTTCATTATTGGCTCATTGTCTTAACTGTTTCTCTCACTACAAAAGCGGCTGCTGGAACCTGTGTTTCTCCTGCACACAATGTCTACAGCTTTGATAAAGTAACAAGGGTCTCACTGTGAGGCAGCATACTCCGAAATTTTAGCAATGAGGGAGGATGGTCCTGTTGCTTAGCACGTCCTGTAGAAAATGAAAAGGCTGCCATTGCAGGCTTATAATATCCTACTATATGAAAAGAGATGGACAAAAGAGACGAACAAAAGAAAAATATACACTTTAGTGAAATAAATGCATGCAGAGAATTCAGTATCAGTAGGAAAAAAAACATTGTGGCTTTGGGTAAGCACCGTGGTCTTCCTCGCATTGTTTGCTTTTTAGCAACAGCATCATTTATTATAGGACTACCCCCACTGTCCGTTACTGTTGGTCTGTTGGAACCATTTGTAAGTGTCAGACATTGCTTCAGTAATTGTACAGCCCAAGTTGTAGGGGGTTTGCCTATTAAACAGTGAGCTGATAACTGACAAACAAATGTGCTCATATTGTGGACTTATAAATAAATTCTCCCACTTGACTTTCTATTAATTCTCTTGCAATTGAGCACCGAGGTTCGAAACATTCCATACAGGGTATTTATTTTTTTACCTCTGATAATTTGGGCACCCATTACAATCCAGCATCGACCGATCAATAACATTTTCTGACTTTTGGGCAGTGTCCTGTTTTTAAACCAGCCATAATAAAAATTTCATTGCCCATTTATCTGCCTTGAACATCACTGAGGACAGAACAA